TAGTCACTCCCCATTCCTCCCTCCCCAGGCCCACAATCACTGGGTCTCTGTGGATTTGCTAACTGTGGATATTTTCCATAACTATGATGGTGCAGTATGCAGCTTTGTGCCCAGCTTCTTTTCAATTACCTATCATATTACGGTCATTAGCCATTCATAAGCTGACAGACATGTGGGTTGTTCTCACCTTGAGGTCACTGTGATCAGCTGTTAAGAACTTTTGTGAATATGTGTTTGTATGGTCATGTGTTTTCCAGTCTCTTTGCCTACACACTTCAGGATGCTGATGCTGGGTCATATGGTAACCCTAATTCATCAGTTGAGACTGTTATACAGGGTGGGTCAACTATCTGACTCTACCATATACAGCAGATGAGTGTTCCCTGGTTCTTTGGAGTTATTAATTCTTGATGCGCTCTCTCTCTCTCTCTCTCTCTCTCTCTCTCTCTCTCTCTCTACAACAGCCACCTCAGAGTATGCAATGTATGCTGAACACCTTTTCAAATCCTAGCTGGTCTTGTATGTCACCACAATGGAGAATGTCTAAGCCCTTAGCCTTTATATTTTGTTTGGTTGACTGGTTATTTTGCAGTGCTGGATATGAATCCAGGGCCTTGGCTGTATAAGGCAAAATCTCTGCCATTGAGCTACAACTCCGGTATTTGGTTTATTCAGACAGTGTATTGCTATGTGGCCCAGGTGAGTTACTTAAAAACTCTAAATTGTCATGGCTCACTTTTGGATTTGTTGCCCGTTCATTCTTGAGTCATTGGAGGTCTTCACACTTCATAGATACATGTCACTTCTTTTGACCCCCCCCCCAGCTGCTTTGAACTTTTCTTTCAATTTCTTGTAAAACACACACAAATTCAATTTATAAACAGTTAATATTACTTTTTCTCTTTTTACTTTATGGTTCATGTTGTCATATCTAAAAATCCATTGTAAATAATAAGGTTATGAACATCTGTTCCCAAGATTTTGGTTTTAGTTTTTACCTTTGCTTTCAACCCATTGTGAGTTGATGTTTGTGCAGGGTGTGAGACGAAGGTTCAGTGTCATTAATTTTATACGTCTGAATACCTAGTCATCTCAGCAACAATGGTGGAAATGATTGTTTTGTTTCTCCACTGGATTATCTTGCTATTACCTGTATTCCCTTCCTTCTTACACGTTTAGAATGCTTCATTACTTGTAGATATAGACCACTCTGATACTGCTATTTTTCAGTTATTAGGTGCTCTATTACTCTACTTGAACCTCTCATATAATTATACCTCACTTACCAAATGGGATGTGTTCTGAGAAATGCAGCAAGCACTAGGCAGTGCTACTATCTGAATACCACAGAGGGTGTGTATAAAAACAAAGTCGGTTACAAGACCACTGGGGGATAAACTCTTCCAGAATCATCATTAGATGTGAAGTCTGTCACTGACCCAAATGACATGTGGTGTGGCATCTTGCCAACTGAGCTACCTCCACAGGCCCTATTTCATTTATATACTCATTAAGAGTCTGAATCCACATGAAGCAATGACAGTTCTTGAGGATATATATAAAATGTACTATGTCCTGTGACAGAGACAGGACAAGTGTTTGGGAGAACAGAATGACTATTTCTTAAAGAATTACCTTTACCAGGAAGGCCACTGGGTAAGAAAGGGTGGCTAAAGTACTACACAAACAAAAGCTCAGAGTATTTCAAATGGCAAAATAACGAGCACAAATACACACAATTATGAAGTGAAAAGAAATTGTCTGGAAACAGATGTTTATCATGTGGAGATGTGGTTGACAGAACACCATGAATGTGAGCAAGGCTGAGTGACAATGGTCTTACCCACCAACCTACATAACTCTAGTTGGAAGTGGGCTCTAGACCTGAGTAAGACACAAATGTGTGCTTTGGGATTGGACACTGGGGAGAAAACAGAACTGAACAGTTCTAATTAGCCCTGGCAAACATCTAGCTGAAGTGGGACTTCTCTTTGTTTTTATTATGTCAACATGACACACGAATTAGAGTTAGCTCAAAGAAGGGAAACTTAATTGAGGAAATGCCTCCATAAGATCAGGCTGTAAGTCATTTTATTAATTAGTGATCATGGAGGAGGGCCAAGCCCATTGTGGGTGGAGCCATCACTGGGCTGGTGGTCCTGGGTCTTCAAGACAGCATTAAGCAAGCCATGGAGAGCAAGCCAGTAAGCAACATTCCTCCATGGCCTCTGCTTCAGCTCCAGCCTCCAGGATCCTGACCTGTTTGAGTTCCAATCTTGACTTCTGTTTGATGATAAACAGTAATATGGAAGTGTAATCAAATAAAACCATTTACTCCCAACTTGTTTTTGGTCACAGTGTTTCATTACAGCAACAGAAACCCTGACTAAGACACACTCTTCCCACAACTTCATGACAACTATGGTTTTTTCCTTAGATCTCTTGCTGATAACAAGTTTGCCCAGACATTTTTCACTGGGTTCCACCCTCCTTGTTCCTTTGAAGTGTGGAATTTGTCCAGTCCTGGAAGATGAACATATATTCTACTGCCTTTTTTTTTTTTTTTTTTCTGAGACAGGGTTTCTCTGTATAGCTTTGGAGCCTATCCTGGCACTCGCGCTGGAACCCAGGCTGGCCTTGAACTCACAAAGATCCACCTGCCTCTGCCTCCCGAGTGCTGGGATTAAAGGTGTGCACCACCAACGCCCGGCTTCTACTGCCTTTTAAATTCAAATTTTTCATACTAACAACAACCTGTTTTTCTCAGACATTTCACCACAGCATTCTGTTGAAGATATAATCTATTGCTGAAGGTTAATAAGATCTGGGCACACCCTGTGCTCCAAAGCCCAACTGAAATAGCTCCAGCTGACGGACAGCTCTCTGATAGAGATCTTGCCTTGCTGATTTCAATTCCAGGCCCTGAAAAAAAAAGTCTACACAGGTGGTCTCAAGCCTCACAACTGTGTCTTCCTCTTCCTTTTCAATCTTAAATCACAGTTATTCCATTCGTACTATATACTTCCAGAATCTTCTAGCATTCTCTGACAGAACTGTCAGCTGAGAAGAACTGTCAATGTGCTTCAATAACAAGTTTGCAGCTATGCTTTTACCTTCCTACTTTAATTTTAATAGAAGGTTTTAGAATTGGAAATATCCTAAGATAGAAAATTTCTCCCTTTTTTCACTCCTAGGATTCTCCATAAATACTCTGTATTTAACATAACAAACCAACACCAACAGCAAGAAGAGGCAGGCTTTTACACACAGTTTCTCCCCCATTCCAGGGTCCAATCTTAACTAGTTGTTCCTTATTGGCCTTTAGCATAAAGGGAGGTATTATTTTTGCTGTCATAATGATGAGAACCATACTGTGCTCAATAGAGTAAAACACTTTCTCAAAATAAATAGACAGGGGACAGAGCAGAACTCTGACTTCACTTGTTCCTCATGTCTGGTGACATGACTGTCCTCCATTACTGCCACCCCATCAAGAGGCTGGTCTGCACCCTTTCTTTGTTTACTGATTCTTAAGGACAGAGACCTGTGTAAAACAAGTCATTTATTTACAGCAGCTGGAAAACTGTCCAACAAACTGGCAACTCAAAAAATGTCAAATTGGCTCCCATGAAAGTAAGGGTGGAAAAAGATGAAATTGTAGCGTTTGTAGTATGCCTTGCATGGTGAAGAAATGGCTCTGTTTTTCACATTAAAGGAAGATAAATCTTCACTGATTCTTGCCTGAGCTTCAACAATTTTCCTAAGTAAGTGCCATTTTTTTTATTTCTATAAAAGACCAACTCCCCCCCCCCAATATTAATAATGGAAAATTGCTGATTTTTAATTATTTTTAAGGTATAGGCACCAAGGAAAAATTTGTTAAAAGAGGAGGGTATGAGATTATCATCTCTTATCAGTAAACCTGTAAATATTTTCTTTTCCAATTCTTCTGAAGCTTTCTCCTAATTTTTCTAGCATATTACGATGTTTTTATAGTTACAAACAACCAACAAGAGAACAAAATGAGAAAAATGTTTAGTAATGAGAAATGATGAGGTATAAAGATTGTCTGAGCCTTGGACAAAACTCAAAATATACAGACACTCACTGGATCTCAGGCATCCCCAAACTTCCAGGCACCCTAAACCTTTAACTCTAAACCTCTACTACTTATCCAGGCAGAAAAATTTTATCTTTTAAAACTTTTGTTTTGAACTGGATATGGTAATGTATGTCTGTAACCCAGCTTTCAAGAGATGGAGGCAAGAGGATCAGGAGGAGAAGACTAGAAGTTCAAGGCTATCCTGGGCTACACAGTGTGTTAAACCTGAGCTATCTGAGTTATAGGACAGATGGAAGGAAAATTCTAAAACAGAAGGTTCCACAGAGGAATTTCACACAGACATTAGGCATGTAACTAAGCTTATAGGTAGGCAGTCTACTGGCCCTTCTGTTCCCCTCTCACTTACTCTGGTACTTCAGGCTGCAAAATCTGGGAAGTGTCAAGCAGTGCCATAAAAATCACAGCACTCTCCTGGTCATATTTGTTATCAATTTGACACAGAAGAGGAGGGAATCTCAGAAGAACTGCATCCAGTAGGTAGCCTATGGCATGTCTGTGGGACAATTCTGATTACTGACTGATGCAGGAGGGCCCAGCACACTGTAGGAGGTACCATCCCCCAAGCAGGCAGGCCTGGGATATATAAGAAAGATAGCTGAGTTGTGAGCCTGGGAGCAAGCCAGTTATTAGTCCCTTCCCTGAGTTTCTGCCTTGGCTTCCCTCCATGATCCACTGTAACTTGTAGGCTAAAATAAACCTTTTCTTCCCCAAGTTGGTTTGGTAGGTGTTTTTATCACAGCAACAGAAAGCAAACAAGGACACAATCCTAGTGTTACTGTAACTAAATTAACTCCTGAAGGATGTTAAGTCTTGACATGTGTTTTGCTGGAACAGTAACAGTGTACTAGTGAGTGGAGATGCCAGTCAAATGTCATACCTGTGAGATATAACCTGGAGGCACATGGATGGGAGGAATGGACCCATTGGGTGACATCATGGGAACCTCAGCAGGTCCTGAAAGATATAAGAGCAAAATATTAATAATGGAGAGACACATAATTCAATGTAATCACTGAGATTTTTAACATTCCATAACTACTTGAATCCATGGGTGAAGTAATTTCCTGGCTATACAAGTCAAGGAAACAAACAAAATATATACAAAAGCAGCAATAATAATAAGGTTATAACCGTATCTATTAATATTTAACAGTTCTCTAAAGGCCACAAATTCCATAAACCAAAGCTATGCTGGTAAAGCCAGCCTAACAGAAAGGAACAAAAGCTTTTCCTACTGATGTTTAAATGACATATTAGAATAGTTCAAATCTCCTCCTAACAAACTTCAACTTTACTTTAAAAAGTGTATTGTAATTAATATACATAAACACATTTTTGAAGTGAATTTTTTTAGGTTCAGAAGCTCCTATAGGCTTTGGATTTAAGATTTTATATGATTTTTATTTTCAGTAATTTGTTATAACACACCATTAATGTGAAATCTTGAAAATACTCCAAACTTGCTGGACCTGGTAGTACAGTCCTATAACCCTAACCAGTTAAGCAGCTAGAACAGGAAAAAAATTGTAAGTTCAAGGCCTGCCTGGGCAACTTCATAAGATCCTACTTCAAAATAAAAAAGTTGAGTTTTTGTTTTTTTGTTTTTTTTTTAAAGGGTTTGGGGTATGGCTCAGCAATAGAACACTTGTTTAATATGTGTAAGATCCTAGGTTTAATCCCCAATATCATAAATAAACAACAAAATCAATCACCTGTTTGTTCTATTTCTCATTAAGTAGGGCTGGTCTAGAACTGCCACCATGCCAAGTTTCATGCAATACTGGGGATCCTACCAGGGCTTTGTTCATGCTATCTAAGCACTCTACCAAGGAATGCTAATCACATGATTAAGGCAATCTGATGAATTGCAAGGTTAACAGTTACCTAAAATGTAGTTTGGGTTAATGTTTCATCACAAACTAACTGCCATATACCAAAAACAACTTGATGCCCTTCAAAGGAGCCTACCATTCAACAATTTCCCTCCAAGTGAAGGAACCTTAGAACTTACCTTCCATTGCTAGCTCTCATTTGCTGTTAGCAACTCACACTTTGTTACCCAACGCTATGAGTTTCACTATGAGTTGCGACTTTCTGTCTCCAAGCACTGTATTGTTTATTTGCTTTCTCCTGGTGGGTATTGTACTGCTGGCAGTAAAAACTGCCCAGCTGGAACAAACCCAGGAGAAATCTGCCACTTTACTTAGCAAAAGGAGGCAATCCTGTCACCCAATCACTTCATGTACAAGTAAACAGAGTGAGTCTTTCACGTCACAAGTGTTGCAACCATGATAGGAGAGGTCATAGTGGGGTGGGGACGACTGGCATGAGCATGAGCAGGTCTCCAAGTTCAGGGGCAAATAGCAGAAGGGCAGAAAGGGTGAAGGACATCACAGGAAACTCCAAAGGAGAGATCACTGCACATTGATGGATAACACATCAAGTGAGAGATCACTGCACATTCATGGCTAACACATCAAGTGAGAGACCACTGCACATTCATGGATAACACATCAAGTCAGAGTCCCCTGCACATTCATGGATAACACATCAAGTGAGAGATCACTGCACATTCATGGATAACACATCAAGTGAGAGATCACTGCATGTTCATGGATAACACATCAAGTCAGAGTCCCCTGCATGTTCATGGATAACACATCAAGCCACTGAACTCTGACCATCCCTAAACTCACAAACTCTGTGGTCTCATGTGTGTCGTTAGCCAAAAGCAAAAAGAGGGTTAGCACACAGGCTTAGCATTTTCAAATCCCCGAGTTTCATTGCCACCATGCCCCTTACCAAAACAATGGATCATCGTATGACACCATTTTATTTTTAAGTTAGAATTAAACTTCCATGGCAACCGCTAAAGGTGTTGGTTTCCAAGTCTATCTTCCTCACTGGCTTCAGCATCTTTAACACAGCCATCAAGACATTTCCCTTGTATCCTAATTTGAATTGATTTATTTAAAAGAATCATGCTATCTTTGAAATCCAAAGGTCAACGCACTTGGCTCCAAATAACAGGTTCTAGGAGCATGCTCTCCCCCTTGTTTTATACCTGTGTGCCCTTGGACAATGAACTCATTTAGCCTCTTGGAGTCTCATTTCTTAAGATTTGTAACTGAAAATAAGAATGGCTACTTCATAACGTCAGGCTTAAAGATGAAATTCATTAATACCTGCAAAAGTAGCATGAGTATAATAAGCACATATCTCATCACCATTCTGCAAGGCTTCTGATAATGTTCTAAAACCTGTATTTTTATTTTACATGTATGTTTTGCCTACATCTACAGCTGTGTATTATGTGTGTGCAGTATCCAAGGATCTCCTAAAACTTGACTTACAGATGGCTGTGAGCCACGTTATAGATGCTGGAACTTGAACCCAGGTCCTCTGGAAGAGCAACGAGAAGCTCTTAACCACTAAGCCATCTCTCCAGCAATCTTCTTGATTGATATTTGTTGCACTCTCTTTTTTTGTTAAAATTAAATTATAAGGAATATATTTTTAAAATATCATATAAAACCACAAGTGTATACAATGTACATTATTTGCATAATGGGCAACTCTTCCTTAACAGGCAAAATATCAAGTAGTTCACAGTACAACAAGCCAATGAAGTATGATTTTTTGGGGGTGTATGGAGGGTTCAAGACAGTTTCTCTGTATAGCCCTAGCTGTCTTGGAACTCACTCTGGAGATCAGGCTAGCCTTGAATCACAGAGATCTGCTTGCCTTTGCCACCTGAGTGCTGGAATTAAAGGTGCGTGCTACCACCAAACGTCGAGGGATGGCTTTTTAATTATCAAAATGTATACCAAGCTAATGGTCTCTTAACCCTAAGTATGACCCTGAAAACTTTGTGAGACATGCTTAAGGAGTGTAGGGCTAGCAAGAGATTTACAGCTAGAAATGCTTTCTTCCTGCTCTTCATTTCAAGAGTTGCTAGAAAATTCCACATGCATGGCCTCAACAAAGCCATTAAAAGGCCATTTCAGAAACAGTACAGTGGCTTCTTAACTGCAACTGTGCTGTGGAACCTCAGGGTTACTCTAGCTCCTGAAGTAACCCAGGCCCCACCAGCTAAGGAAACAAAGCCTCCTACACAGTGGCAGTATAAGCACCACTGTCCTCCTTAACACTAGTCCCCAGCAAGTTCACTATCTCTGCCTGATCATCTGTGTTGGGAATGCCCCCATCCACAGTCAGCGTTCCCTAAGAGGCACAGGTTTCCTTTCTCATCTAGAGATCAGGTTCTCCTACTACTTTATCTACATCCTCACCAAAAATAATACCTAAGGGATATGGGGGGGGGGGTTGTTCACGCCACCATCACTGGCTAAATTCATAGGAGGAAAATGTCTCTCAAACAATAGATTTGTTCCTTGCCTATACTAGGAGCATTTTCAATTATTTTAAAGCAATCTTGTAATGTTTCTGAAACCTTATTCAATACACTAGTTATATACCGGCCCGTCTATGCAGACACATAGAGATATGCACACATAAATTAAGACAGATGCCTATAGGATACAGTGAAGCTCTGGTTTGTAAGAACTAAGAAGTGTAGCTAGAGAGACAGAAATTATTCTGCAGACATATGAAAGCTGTTGAACCAGAATGTTTATTGAGCCTAGTAGCTAAATCTGATTTCGGGCTTAGGCTGTGACTTCAATATCAACATTTCCTTATTGTCACCTAATATCATGTGAGACCATGACTCTCGGATTGGTGTCTATCATTTTATCATCAAACTTGAACAAAGAACTATACAATCTGAGAACTTCAAAGTCAGCTACCATTTGTTAGTGCATGTTCACTTATGTGTAGCAAACCTGGATCCAGAAAAGTTAGAGGGCAGCTTAACTATCCAATTGTGTCACAGAGGCTAAAGAAAGACTCCAGCCCCACTATTCCTTAGGAGCCACACAATCATGGCAAGCTCCAGAGCTCATCTCCAAGGCTAACGGCTAGTCTCTAACTGCCTAGTCTCTATAGGGCTCCAGACCTTAACACAACTGACTCCATGATGAAAATACCATCCAGGACACAAAACTCAGCAGGTAGACAGTACCACCTGCCAAAATGAAAAGCAATACCTAATCTATCAAAGTCCAAACTCCTGGGAAAGTCTCTAAACCTAAGGACCATGTTTTTTGGCTTCTGTAACTCTTCTGGCTAACTGTTTTTAACTGAAGTATGTCAACCCAGGACATTAAGTTTGTTCTTAAAAGCTCTCCCTGAGAAAGATTTGAACACCCCAGTATAGTCACCAATCAGCTAATAAAGACTTTCTATTGGCTTAAATCCCTGTCTAGTCAGTCTTCTCTGGTGATTAGCCCACAATGCAGTCTGCCTTAACCTCTGGTTCTGTCTTGTGACTAGGGATCTCAAGAATTCGGGAGCCTAGACAATGCTTGCTTGACACTGTCTTCAGAAGCCTCATCTCATACGGAAGCAAAAATAGCTATATTGACTAGAGGAAGGGCATCGTTAGTGACATTGAGGAATCCCTAAGGGGTGCAAACTGGCAGTCTAGGACAAGTCACCACTAAAATCAGCCCCAGCTATAAATAAATCAGTTGTACTATATAAGATTTTGCCATTTTAAGAGGTATTTTTAAAAAGTTGAGTAGTCACCATAAGTAACAAGTAGTAAACAATTCACTGTTGTAGTTTTCTCTAAATTGGCACTTGGATTTTCATATGACTATCAATAAATAGTGCTTAGTGCCACACATCACATTCTGCCTTGATTAAGTTCAGTATTGTCTTACTCATAAAGGGACTTAAGAAGGCTGAAATACTTGGTGAGATCAAGGGTGAAAAGTGAAAAAACTCAATACATACTAAGAAAGTAACCTTTGAGTCTAAATAGCTGAAGGGGAATTCTCGAAGGAATAGACAGAGCCCTTAGGTAAGGTCACAGCCAAATGGCAAAGAGA